CCTAAGGTATACATAAACAAGTACCAAATATACAAATATCATATTATTGTATGGTCATCAAGGCTAAGTGTGTAAATAACATCAGATCCAACACTCATCAGGAAGGGGGTAAAAAGGTTCCAATAACAAATTCTTTAAATTGATGAAACCATCATAACGACATCACGTGAATTAACTTCCCTACCATTTCTTCATGGCTAATATTTGATTCCAATATTTTATATTAAAATCAACTACCGCTTTGCTCGTAGCATGATTCATAGCATATATAGCCTTCCCCGATAAATGGACTATCCAACACAAAAATAATTATTCAAATCGAACCTGTAGTGCCATGCGCGTTCAAACAAATAAACTCTTCACCTTTATATAATAGTAATAATACCTATAACATATAAAATATTTATTATCGCATTTTACGCATTTTATTTCACAAACAGGAGAAGGGATTTTTTTTATTAGATTTTTATAGTACATTTTCGGATTCGGTACTGGCAGACTCGCTAAATTAGACCCAACGCGTTGTCCGCCGTGCTGGACCGCTTTATACCTCTGTACTGATAAAAAAAATGTTAAAAGATAGGATACAGATTACATAGCAATAATCGTATTTCATAGAAATACGACTGAAAATGAATGAATTTGTTAAAAAAAGATGGTACATTTGGAGTTTTAAAGGGCGACGTTTGGTATGGACATACTACCTAGTTATCTACGTATGTGGGAGTCCTTTTATATCATAAGTCCCGTCCTTTTTTCTGTCACTGAAAATTACATTAAAAAAAGTACAGTACCAATTTTCCGTTTGCTCAGAGACTTCATGAATCACCACATGATTGTCATTCTATTTCCATTCAATTCAATTCTAATATATTATGTAATCCAATAACTTATTTAACGATAGGATGAGGTATAAATCAGTACCTGTATAGTATACCTGTCTTAATACTCGTAATAGTAGGATATGGCATACCAATTTTTAGAGGTTTTAAAATTTTCCTGTAACTGTCTCGTTGATCTCGAGCAAGGTATTGAGTATTTGCACACAGCGACTAGATTAGTGCCTGGTGTATGGCAATGTACGCCTCTTATTACATAGAACTTATAAACCATAACTAGCGAATAGTGAATTTTATATTTGATTCGTCCAACTATCTACCCTGTAGGGATTAAGCCACGATGTAATATTAGTTAATTAGGTCGTTTCGCTCCACAATAATTTTAGCTCCCTCTTACTCACTCTTAGCAAATGACAAAATAACAACGAAAAGCCTTATCCTAACTGAATTAAATGTTTGCTAAGTGTAAAAGATTTCTGAATTTTCAAAAGGTTTATTCAGTAAAAACGTTGGTAAAGACACTGAAAGTTTCAATTTTATATTGTATAGTATAGGGTAGCATTTTCAACCAACGATAAAAACATTTATTACATTACCGAATGGTCTGTTGATACCTACTTCTTTTTTTAGTCTACTAGATCGTATTCTCCAGTCTTTATTTTCCAAATGAATAGTTTAAATCTTCTGCAGGACTGCGGAAACCTAGGAAAGCTGAATAGTCATTCTCCTCTGTCGTTTCGCTCTTGGCAGAGCGGTCCTGGTCACTCACATTGAGGCGGCCGTATTTGTGTTGGAGGCGGATACGTTGCTTTCCTCACGATCTCCAGCTATCTCTCCCTGTGTGGCGCAGGCTAATCTAGATTTCCTATTGTTTACTACACCCCAATTGACCATAAAATATAGTAACTAAACAACTTACATTTACCAGTCTATCTAATATATTTTATCTTTGCGATCAATTTAACCGTAGCTACCGATAACGTCATCATCAATTTATATTTTGATCGACCCTCTCGAATTCAGTGAGCGTGATATTTCTGCATCTCACAAATACACCTACACACATAATATACATATGTAACTCTAAGCACAAGAATGGTTCCGTACAAATTCAAGTCATTGCTTTTGAGATAGGGGCAAATGACATTTTTATGACATTGTTTTGTATAACATTGATTTCATTAAATCAATTTTTTATAATTTTGTAGCTATTGTAATAACAGACCCTTGTCTGCCCCTGAGGCACTTGCCCCAGATCACCTGTTTGTAAGCAATCAGTATAGCGCTCCGCTCTGTAACCAGATTATCCATGAGGATCCATCCTTTAGGAGAAGGACTAGGCCTTAAGCAAAAATGAAATACTTCGTAACCACTGACTGACTATTTTTTATGTACGAGTAGTGACCATATAAAATATTACCTTTACCTAGCCTTAGTACTTTAATATACTATATGAATGTTGATTAATTAGACGATTAATTTACTATAAACTCCAATTTGTTGTACAAATATATAGGTACACAGCGTAGTATTGTCAAGTATGGTAAGCGAAATGAAGTAACCCAATGCTCTGATTTCACAAACCGATACCGAAGTATGTACCTACTCGGGTGAACATGTTGGATACTTTAAACATCAATGTCACTGACATGAAGCAATTACTATATCGGCTGGAATTTTTTTTCTTAAAATTTTGTTGCCTACTGCCACTGAAGCCAATCCTTAACCCAAGTTAGTGTAGCGCTCTTGCAAACGCAAAAATTTAGTACTTTCTTCCAATTACCTAGTCAAATACAATACTTAATTTGACCAACTCAATTATAATTGATCTTAATAAATTAATAAGAATTTATTGCTATTTTATGTTCATCATCATATCAGCCACAAGATGTCTACTGAACATGCTCTGGTCTCTCCGAATGACTAGACTTCTAGATCGGCCTACTGGCCGCTTCCACTGAAGCGAACTGCATCCAGCACAACATTACGAAGGAATATATTTTACATAAGAAAGTAAACCTTTTTTCAGCATCACTATCATTACTTACTAAGATAAAGTAGCTGGTTTCATAATCTATTTGAATTAATTAATTAAAAATTTACTTAAATGTATGTACATGATGTTGTTCATAAGTATTAAGTGATAGAATCTTAATTTGGATCTCGAACAGTGTAGCGACCTACACAAGACCACAGATACTTATTTAACTTCCAAGAATTGTTTAAATGAGCGGTGAAAGCTACACAAAACAGGTGTGTAACACATTACGTTGGACAGGGTAGATGCAGTACCATTTCACGAAAGTTCGATATAATACCAAGCTGTTATAAATAACATTATGAAATCATTTAAAATACGTTAATTTAATGTTATTTTTTGTATAAAATTGAGTTGATCTTACAAGTCACTAATTTTAAACTATAAATCAATGGTTTTAATACAGTGGCTATAATTTATTAGTCTGAACACCTCAACTTCAGTTACTTTTAAATTTAATCACTACTATGTTAATTCAATTTAATTTCTATAAGTTATCGCCGTGATCAGAATTCAAAATACATAACATCACACAATTTAATCTCAGAAAGGGTTTTTTTAAGGGGCGAAATTCATCAAATGACTGCCCCCGCCTGGGTGAGGCGGGAGGAAGTGTCAGACTCTTACTGACTAAAAACCATCCCGTTCCTTCTCCTGCACGTCGAGCTGGAGCCCCGGTAACCCGTTAGGTTCTCCGCGACTTCTCAGAAAAGGTAGGGAAAATGCACGTGTAGAAATAGATTCCTGTTAATTCACAATTGAGTACCTACCATTTATCATTTCATTTGGAGAGACTCGCTGTTAGATCGACTAAACCACATTATCTAATTCCGCGTCACTATTAACTGGCTAATTGGCTTTGCAAGCGTGGAAGTTAATTATACAACAAATTTTCAAGTCTAAAAAATTTAAAAAAGTACTGATATCCATATTTATTATAATTACCGTATAGAATAGTCGTTCTTCTTCTCTGGTATATTAACAAAGTATTGTAAGTATTTGAAGTTTTGTATTTTAAATCACTAATCTAAATACAAAACTTTGTTCATTTTACTTTCATAATGACGGACTTTCATTCAAACTATCATACCTATTTGAATCCCTTAGAGATGGATTTTTTTAAACTCCTCTTTTAGTAGGTGCCTACATAACAAATTTAAAATCATGTTTGTAGCATTGATAGTTTGCGCTTGCCGATGATGAATCAATCAGTCAGTCAGTGACTCATTCCGTCAATCAGACAGACCGAAGATAAAAAATACTAAACTGCTGTAAATCTTTAAAACTTGGCCTCCCACGGTTACAATAAACACGATATCACAATAACATAGTTATTACATATAAATCCACACAGTCATATAATAAAATCGCAGGAAAGTGAAAACTGTACCTACATTGAATATTGTTATAAAAAATGCTTGAGGCGTGATCTACATACATATCGAAGCCAAAAATATGGTTTTTAGAATTTTTGTTTGTTCTTCTTGTGTATCTTACTGACTAAAAACCACCCCGTTCCTTCTCCTGCGCTTCGAGCCGGAGCCCCGTTAACCCGGTGGGTTCTCCGCGACTCGACTGGAATGATACCACAGGTTCACAAAATAACCTACATGAAACAACGCTTGCGTTGTGTTTTGTCGTGTCGTGTGAGTGAGATTACCAGAGGCCCAATAATAGCCCTCTCCAATTTCTGAATCCCCCAACAATCCTCAAAATCCTAACCCCCAAAACGCCGGCAACACAGTTGTAACGCCTTTGGTATTTTGGGCATCCACGGGCGATGTCGATTGCTTACCATCAGGTCTGCTCGTTTAAAGGCTTGTAGCATAAAAAACTAACATCTACAGCGTGCCGCGTGCCCTTAGTGTTAAGTTTAAAATTCAGAAAAAGTATTTATTGGTCAGACAAAAACTCATTTTTAATTATTTGTTTTTGAACTCAAGGACATTGAAAACGGATTTGCTCTGAAATTTATGGCAAAACAATTTTAAAATGTTGCCTATAAGAAAATACTTTGTAAACGTCAACACGGTATGAAACGTCGGCGTGTGACGTGTCGTAGAACCAACTTGCTTTGTTTTGATTGGTTGAAACACTAAGGTCAAGAAATCGTTTTCGTTTCATTTTCTATCTCTTTCTTTCCGTGCCCACCAAAAAGCCGTCGAGTGCGGTTTTTACATCTGTAGATAACTTCAGATTCTGAATCATCAGTTTTGTGAAATATTTAATATATTTGGACCCTAATTGTTGTAACATATCAACAAGTAAGTTTTTGTCATTATTCTTTCATGTTTTAAAGTATTACAGACTATTATAACCTAAAAATGTTGTCGAATTTTGAAACTTTCATCTGCCGCCTCAATCTGCCAACGAGAATTTATATAACCTTTTCAATATCTCCTAACTGTCACGTTAGATGTATAGAAATAAATAAAATATTTGTCAATTACTCATGTGAAAGTGCTCGTAGTATTATTTGTTGAACCTAATTCCCACGAAAAACTCATAACCTGCGTCCATTAGTTTAAAGCATTACGAAGAATTCTAAGTTAAAATTACCTTATTTTTTAACTATTTTAATTTATTGTATCTTATAAATAATACAGAATGTTAAAATCCACTGTGATTTTAAAGTTTTCAATCTAAAAAATAAACAACATATCGTTAATGAAATCTTTTGGAAACTTGATCGAAATATTGTCATCCTACAATATAATGTGAAAATAATATTATGTTTTCAGAATGTCGAACTTAGTACATGAAAAAATTTGGTTGGACAAAAACATCTATGGTGATGCTGAAAGAAATTACTATGAATCTTTGTCAAAGGTGTGTATATGAATATCAGTAGTTCAGTAAAAGTATAAAATGTAATATCTAATTCTTTAATCATTGTACCACCGAAACCAGTATAAAATATTATTATGTTAAAACTTTGTAGGTCCAAGCTACCCCACTTTCAGTAGCTCGATCTTCTTTGGCCAGCGAAGTTGCTAAAGCTAGACAACATATCAAAGAATCTTTAGAATGTGTGAGTAAACTATATTTCATTAAAATTCACACATTTTTTACTCGAAAGTTTGTGTTTTTATTTTGAGTTTATTTCCTCAAATAATTTTTGTTCAAGTAGTTATTTATAGCTGTACATGTGTAGCTATGTATTTGTGCTTAAAAACCTGCAGAAAAATAGAAAAACCTTATATGTATAAATTAAATTAGATATGTAAAATTACAGATGGACAGTGTCGCCACCTTAGCAGGAGTTCCTAACACTGAGTTGACTACCAAAGTCAACAGTCTAGAGAAAGAAAACAGTGATCTGAAGAAGGCTATCAATGATTTGCGCAACCTTGTCATTAGCCTTCAGGCTCGAGTTGAAACACTGGAATCAACAGGTGGTGCTAAAACTCAACCTGCCAAAGTAAGTTATTTAACAGAAAAAAAATTATGAAAAATTTATGTAAATATGATTTAGATAAACTATAACCCTAAATATTTCTCTCAGGCACCAGCACCTACCCCAACAGCACCAGCTAAAGCACAAGATGATGATGATGATGATGGAGTTGACCTTTTTGGCTCTGATGATGAGGAAGAGAGTGCAGAAGCTGCAAGAATAAGAGAGGAACGTCTTGCAGCATACAATGCTAAAAAAGCCAAAAGTTAGTAGTGGTAAAATAAAACAAAATAACTTTGGAAACAATTATCTTGAGTGAATTTATTACTTAGTAAAACTGGCATCTAATTGTGTCTGTTACTATTTCAGAGCCAGTTCTTATTGCCAAATCTAATATCATATTAGATGTAAAACCATGGGATGATGAAACTGATATGGCTGCTATGGAGAAAGCTGTAAGAGATATTGCTACTGACGGTCTTTTGTGGGGAGCAGCTAAACTTGTACCACTGGCATATGGAATCCACAAGCTACAAATATCTTGCGTTGTTGAAGATGACAAAGTTTCCATTGATTGGTTAACTGAAGAGATTGAGAAAATTGAAGACTTTGTAAGTTAATGGTTATTTGTCAAAAATCCTAAATTTTTTGTGTTATGTTAAAATATATTTTTATGAAATAATTTTTTTACAGGTTCAAAGTGTGGATATTGCAGCTTTTAATAAAGTGTAAAACTTAAAAAGACACAGAAATTTAAAATTGAACTGATGGAATAAATGTGCCTTTTTTAAAAAACCTGTTTGAATTTATGCATTAACTAAAACCCCAGAAGACTAGTTTTACCTTATTGTTGTGATGATGACTACAATTCTAACTAGTAAAATCGAATAGTATAAACCTGGAATTTTATCGCTATCTTAAATGTTTTTTGTTAAATTATTGTTGATAAATTAATTATAATTCACTTCGGTAAATCATTGCTTTTTTTCTTCCACGAATATTGAGTTTGTTCTGCGACTTTCAGTGTTCAAAAGTTGCTACCCATACTAGACATAAGTATTATATACTTTTTAATAAATAAAGCTGAAGACTGTTAGAACGCGCTAATGTCAGGAACTATTGCTTCGATTTGAAAGAATCGTTTTGTGTCGGATATTCTTATCGGTCGAAAAAAATTCCAGCTTAAAACAACGCTACAATCAACAGGAGCAGGTGACACCGTACAGAAGCAGCTAGTGACTCATAACCATCTCATAACTAATAAAAACTGCCAATGCCTTTACTTCACCGGGAAGTTCAAGACTACACAGTACACACCTTTACGTGCAATAAAGCGCTTCTAGTCTACTCAGAATTAAAAAAGATTTCCTCGGGAAAAAGCTTATTAATTTTCAAGTTTAGCAAGGACTCGAACTAGAAATCTATGCAGACTTATTTTCCGGTAATGATAACATTGGATGAAAGTATTTATGAATAGTCATTAAATCTCTACTAATATTATTTCGGTACGAAGTTTATCTAACACCTTGAAAGCCATGGGCCACGATAGCGGAGGATTCACCTTCAACAGTTTTCTGTCGGCAGTCAAAGGCTTAATTAGTAATCAGATACTTTAATATATCTTTTATTATGAACCGTAACTAGGTTAGAATCTGCTTTTTAGCAATAGTTCATTGCTATCGACTAAAGTTCTACTATTGTTTATTTCCACAACAATACATTTTCCATTAATAAATTAACTTTTTAATAGTTACAACACTGAAAATTTATTTGGTATGCCAATGTCAATTTGTTATTCATGTCAACAGTCAATTGTCATTACTTAATTATCAAATTGATAGCACGTTGTGTTGTGCAAGCAAAAAAGAAATAGTGGATAACATAATAAAGTAGTAAAGTGCCTTTTATATAAATATTTTCTAATAATTAATTTCATGTAAACTTAGTATTTGAAAAATATATGCAGAGATAGCTAATCAACCATAGCAATTTATGACATATTACATTACTTTTAAACATGAATTGCAAAAAATGTGATTCTCCTAAGACTGTGATTTTGAGAAAAAAGGATTATTATTGTGATAATTGTTTTATGTTAAACACTAATCACAAGTTCCGTGCATGTCTAGGAAAAAATAAGGTGTTAACTCCGAATGAAAATGTAATGATTGGACTCTCAGGGGGTGTGGGCTCTACAGTTTTGTTAGATTTAGTCCATCATGCTATATCTTTAGAAAACACTAAAAAACTACGGATAACTCCATTCTTTATACATTTATATGGTAAGGATTTTGAGAACTGGTCCTTTTTAATACATAATATCAGCATCATCTTTCATTTTACAATGTTTAAATATATTCAGCAACTTAATTATTATGGTTTTCGGCTTACTAACATACTGACGAGGAAACTCGTCTAGTTACAAGCCACATCAGAGCAAACATTGAAGCAAACTGATATCCTCGTCACACAGTGATGCAATTAAGCTGAAAATTATATTGATTAATTTAGTATGCATTACTAAAAGTTACATTAAAAGTCTCATATTTTTTGGTGATTTTCAAATACATCCAAGTAATAAAAAGTGTATTATTATTGAAAATCAAGACAGAATAATAATAACATAATACTTAATGTTTTGTTTGTATTTATAGTAATTATAATAGGGTTATACCCTATACTTACATTTGTACTTCTCTTTCATTCCAGATGACGATTGCAGATGCTTGGCAGAATCTCTAATCAAACAATGTGAGAAGTATGACTTTGATGTTTATGTGGTACACCTTGCTGTTTATATGAATTCTAATTATGAATTACCTCAAGCAAACACTTTACAAGATTTTAGTGAAAATGAAAGGCAAGTCTTTAAAGATATGATGAACAGCATGCCCCCATCAGCAGCTAATGATTTTTTACTCAAAATTAAACGCAATCTCTTAGTTGAGTTTGCAAAGAAATTGAGCTGCAGTGTTATTTTTACAGCAGAAACTACAAACACTTTAGCTGTTAACTTATTATCTAATTTGGCTATTGGCAGAGGATCACAAGTGCAATATGACATTGTAAGTATATTTCCTTGTGTCAAGTCAAAATATACATTTACATAAGGAGTAAAAACTCCTTATATATAAAATATAAAATTATCCATCAGTTACAATAACAAAAACCTAAACTGAAATTGAAACAGGCTCTGAAAAAGTAAATTTATACTAAGCTAAGGGCCAATTTTTCCAATGCCAGATGAATTTAAACTGAGGAATAATTTTCAATATTTTCCAATTCTTCCATACTAAAAGCTGTCATATGTCAATTTTATTCTACAGTTAAGACATAACTGATGGTTGAAAAATGGGCTCTAAGAAAATATGTTATTATTCTGTGGCCTTAGATTAGAGAATGATAAGTGTATTTTTGCTCAATGTGACTTTCAAATGCTACAATGCTACTAATGCTCAAAAATTCTCATTCTTGAAATTCTCATTTATAATTGGTTTTCCTGTTAAACTGTCAAACACCGAGCGGTCACCGGTGACCGCAACCTATTGTAAATTACTTGTGTCTATAATGACGGTACTCAACGAGTTAAGTAATGAATTTTAGTTATCAGATTGTATATAGCAAGCCTAGTGCGAGCTTACATTTACATTAACATGATCATAATAATGGTCATAAATATGCTTACTAACCATTACTACAATGTGAGCATTATCATAACTGGTTGAGAACTGTAAGAATTATGTACTTAGGTAGTTTTATTATAAACATACAAAAATTTTAATAATCATAAAAAATGGATTTATGAAATGTATTTATACTTTTCAGGGATTTTGCGATAATCGCGATGACAAAGTGAAAATCATAAGACCCATAAAAGACATCAGCAATGAAGAATTAAATCATTATATCTCCATAAAGCAGTTGACTCCAGTAAACGACAGTCATATCAAAAGTAATAGCTTACAGTCAGTAATCTCTTTGTTTGTATCTGAACTTCAAGAGAACTTTCAAGCCACAATATCTACAGTTTGTAAAACAGCTGATAAAATTGGAGATCAGAAGGAATCCAATACACATGAGAAATGCTTAATATGTGAGGTGAGAAACATTGCATTTGTACACAGATAGTGTGGACAGACTATAATATAATAAAATAATTTAATGATACATATACCAAATTATTCAGTAAAATGATTGAGGTCTATGAGACGAGAATAAATATTTAAAAAAAAATATATTTTCAAAAGAAGTATTTTCTTTTTTCAGAGTGATCTTGATGTAAAGAGCATGAAACTATCGGCGTTTGAAGCAACAAATGTTTCGAGAATGGTTTCCCTTGAAAAAAATCAGTCTAATCCACCTTTCGAAAAGACGTCAGATATCGTACATCGTCTGGAAAATAACAACAACACTTCAGTTTTCCCACTAATCAATAAATATCTTTGTTATGGTTGCAGTAGAAATCATTCAGAAATTAATGTACATAAATTACCAAATCAATTACAAAAAGCTTTAAGTGCAGAATAGTCAAAGAATATAATGTATGAATGTAATGTACTTGGTAGCATTATATCAAAGTTGATTTAAATTTGTGTGATGATTATTTTATGTATAGGTCTAATATATTTTTATCATAACATAATTTTGTATTATTTTATTCCTAGCGTGGAGGTGAAGTCGCGGAGAACCTCATGGGTTACCGGGGCTCCGGCTCGACGTGCAGGAGAAGGAACGGGATGGTTTTTAGTCAGTAAGAGGGACACTCCCTCCCGTCATTCGATGTCGAATTAAAAAACCTAAAAAAAAATGTGGAGGTGAAAGTGCGTGTGTGCATATAGTATAATTGGACAATTTTGTATTTGTAATATTTATCCAAACAAAAACATTCTGTAAGAAACTAGCCAAATCTCGATAGAGCTGCTCGTTCACCTGTAAAAGTAATGAAATGAAGACAAAGTCGTCGCAAGTCTAAGGTTCCTTACTGCGATTTCTTTATTATTATAGTTAATGTTGTGTGACTCTGCCGTTGAACCGCTACCCATTGAAGATGGAAAACTGCCAGTAGGAAAAAATTGATTTCATAAACAACCAAACAGCGGTTCTAGTGACAGATTGGTGCAATGGTGTCTTGCACCAGGTTTTGCACATTTGTGTAACTTTCAAGTGTGGGAGAGCCATGCTTCGGCACGAATGGGCCGGCTCGACCGGAGTGGTACCACGGCCTCGCAGAAAACCGACGTGTAGCAACGCTTCCATTGTATTCGTCGTGTGAGTGAGGTTACCGGAGGCACAATTACCCTCCCCTTCCCCAATCTCCCCAATCCCTGAATCCCCAACGATCCTCAAACGCCTAATCCCCAAAAGGCCGGTAACGCACTTGTAACGCCTCTGGTGTTCCAGGTGTCCATGGGTTACGCCGATAGCTTACCATCAGGTGATCCGTCTGCTCGTTTACCGGCTTATATATACCATAAAAAAAAAAAAAAAAAAAAGGGTCACCTAGTACATCTTCGATAGTAGATCTTCGATTTTTCTAGTTTTTAATAGTTTTCCCTTAATGTGACCATTAAACCCTAACTCTGTACCTACACTGTTACAAATTTCAGCTATCTGAGTTTACGGGAAGTACCAGTTCTATTTTGATGATCATGAGTGAGTGTCATAAATGTGAAACTTCGCTCTCGCATAACTTTGAAACCAAATGACCTACAAACTTGAAATTTCGGATTATAAGGATGTGATTATAGCTCATCGGATGATGAAAATTTCTGAGTTCTTGTCTTATCCAGAGGCTC